CTCGTTATCAGCGTCTGCATCTCCGGACCGAAGAGTGACGTTTGGGAGATGGGCAGGTCCAGCAGCTGCCTCTTCTCCGCCTCTCTGAGATTCACCGACCCCAGCCAGAGGTGTCTGGCCCCAACTTGTGCTGCTGCCATCGTGCGGCCGCCATCGACAGCTAGCGCTTGGCACATGCGCAAGATCGCCGCTGAAGTGGTCCTCGCCTGGGATAAGGTGTCTCCACTGAGTGCCTGGTCAGAGGAGAGAGACCTATCCAGGGCCCCGGTGATGAAGGCCATGTTGTTAGCCACCGCGACGACCTGAGCCGCATTGGCGTAACATGTGTCGTGCATCGCCAAAGACATCCTATCCCGCTCGGAGGGAAGGAGAGGTCTGGTGCTGGGCCACACGGATGTGGAGGGGTGCAGGGCCGCCCGAACCGAGTCCTCGATGTCCGGGACCCCGCCGGTCCAGGACCAGTCCTGCACGTTACAGTACATGCCATACCCCAAAGCGGGCCTCTTGGCCGCTAGGGGCTTTGGCCACTCACGTGTCGCGTAATGGACGATCGGGTCCATACGCGGGCACAACGTGGGCTGGGCTCTCCTCCTCCCTCGAGGGGTGGCGTAACCAGAGGTGAAGTCCTCCACCCTCCGGTTCGGTTGCGGTGGCAGGGGGGCATCCATGATGGCCGCCGCCGTGGCGTAGAGCCCAGGCATGTGGTCCAGCAAGAAGCGGTCCGGCTCCGGGTTGGACACCACCTCGTCCAGCGTGAAGAGAGAGCCGACCTCCGACACCTCTCCGTCCTCGCAGTCACCCCACTCCGCGGGCACGGGTGGAAGGTCGAGGGGGGCCCAGTCAATCGCAGACCCCTCGTCCTGAGAGGGGTCCGGACGGGGCGCTGTAGCGGCGAAGAACGCGCGCCTGCGTTCACTCTCCTCCCTGGGGAGAGCGACACACGAGGCGCAGGTGGCGCTCAACGCCGCATGGCCCGAACCCAGGCACAGGAAGCAGCTGGAGTGCTGGTCCTTGCGCTGGAGCTTGACCCGACAAGTCAAGCAACGACGACGTCCGACGCCGGATGGCGAAGGGGAACTCGGACGAGCATCGGAAGACATCTTTCCTCAGGTAATTGAATGTAGATCTCAATCGGCGCCAGAGTGAAAGAGGGGGTGCGGCCTTGTGCAGGGGCATTTATAGAGGAAGGTGGCTGGTGATTGGAGCAAATTATTTGATCTCTCTGGCGCGTGACCTGGGGGTCACGAGTGATATCCACTAGCGAAGTCCTAAGGGACGTAGCACCATGACGTAGAACAGGACTTCAGCAGCAAAACAGCCTTTTCTAGATGGAAATATTGGCACTGTTAAAGGTAAAAATGCGCACGTCGGGTGCACATTATGTTCCAGAACAAAACGAAAAAGTAACGCAATAGTTACTTTTACTGGTAACTAGTTACTTTTATAGTGGAGTAACTCCGTTAGTAACTCAGTTACTTTTTGGGAGAAGTAACTAGTAACTATAACTAATTACTTTTTCAAAGTAACGTGCCCAACACTGGCATTAACACAAAGGAGAGATGCATGTACCAGGTTATAACAAAGCTAATTTCCACCTGTAGTCCCTGGGCAGGCTGGTGTTATGTTCATTTAAACTGATTACAATGTAGATGGATACATGATTGTGTCTTACATTAAAGGCTTTAAATAACATCATTCACAAAACATTAAGTTTAAAAACAATAAATAAAGCTCCCCAACTTCTACTAGAATATTACCCTCACTCACTCACTCACTCACTCACTCACTTGTGCGTTTTTTTCAAAGTTGAGAAAGTCATATTTAGAGAGGATGGGACAGTGATGGTACCGCCTGGACTTCTTATCATGGATCTTAAGGGCACACTTGTACAGTGACTCGAGAGGTCCCAGAGTGGTTTTACAGCCCTGAGACCAGCTCGAGACACAGTATACACAATGTGACAGGATCATGGAGTTCAGATACAGATGGGACGCCTCAGTGGTGAGTGACCCCCGAATGTATCTGAAGTTGGCCAAATTAAACTTAAGAGTGTAACGGAGTTTCTTTATATGATGTTTGAAGGTCAGGTTTCGATCCAGGGTCACTCCTAAATATGAGAATACATCAACATTTTTAATTTTACTGCCATTAATAACAATAATTGGACAACTGATATGCTTACCTCGGTTTGTAATATACATTGAAACGGTTTTGTCTGTGTTTAATGTCAGACAGTTTTGACACAGCCAGTCAGCAACATTTTGCATTTCATTTGTTAATTTTGTGCTACACTGAAAACCTAGGACCCTATAAATTGACATGGTGAGCTCTAGTGTAGTGTAGTGGTTAAAGCTCTGGACTAGGACTTTGCTAACTGGGGTTATTCCCAGGGCAGGCTCTACTGTTTTTGGGTTAGTTTGATGAAGACTGTTTTAGGCTCAGTTTACATTATTACTAGGGCCGGGACGGGATAAAAAAAAAAAAAAATCTAATTAATTAGAGGCTTTGTAATTAATTAATCTCAATTAATCGCATTTCAGTCGCATATAAATATTTGACCTGAGAACAGTGAGAAGTAATTTTTTTCACATGGATCTTTAGTTTACCATTGGTTAAGGGCTGCTCCTACTCCGCGTCCTCCTTCTCCGTTCATGCTAGTGATGTGCTGAGCGTGCCGGGCCTTCGAAGCGTGTACCGAGTAAAAAAGGGGCGTATTTTTTGAAGCGTGGTTCGAGGCGTGTGTTGGTGACGTTCGAAGCCTCGCGTAGCGGCCGCACCACGTCACGGTTCATATAGTGCTTCATATAGTTTGGAGAGTGCATTGCTTTGACAGGTGCTTTGTGATCCGCGGCTGTACCATAGACTGTATTGGCTGTCCCCGTCTGCCTCTGTGTGCGTACGTGTGTGTGTGTGCGTACGTGTGTGTGCGTGATGTGGAGCAGTCCTGTACTAAGTATAGAGAAACTACTTCATATGAAATACAATTAAAAACGTTTCACTTTAGTAAATCCTCATATATCAAGGCTTCAAGTTAGTACTAATAATACAATGGATAATACATCTCACAACAGCTGTGTGGCGCAGTCGGTATATGACGGACTCCGAAGCAGAAGATATATCGTTTGAGTCCCGGTCTACCCATAATAACTTTTGTGTTGCAAAGTAAATGTATTTCTTTATTGGGAATAAATAGTTTGTTGTGTTTAATTAATCCACCTCTTGGTAGTTTTTCCTCCATTGATCACTTTCTGTAGAACTGTATTACTTTGGATGTGTTTGTTGTATCAACACAATTGACTGAAAGACTCAAATAGTTCATAGTTCATGAAGCATCATTTCAAACACAACACATTAGACCATAGATTGTAAATATAAATTTTAACATTAGATCTCACCATTCATTGTAATCACTTAAGAGTGTTATGTATTTTTTTGTCCACATGATGGCGTAGTGGAGCATGAATCACCTCGAGCCTTCGAACCATGGGCTGAGTAATAGGCTGCAAACCCTCAATGCATCATGGGGCTTCATATTGCCATCACTAGTTCAAGCCATTATTATAATCCGGGGTGCACATAACGTTTTCAGTGAGCTACTCCATTTGTCACGTGGTTCTTAATCGTGATTTTATACTTGCTTCTTTTTTAATGCTTAAGGTTAGATCAGTTAAAACAGCCATTCCCAAACTCAGTAACACCGAGGCCCCCTTAAAAATCTGACGGGTCTGCGTGGCCCCCCAAAATAATAACCAAGAAGACAACATTAAGAATAGGCTCTTCTGGTTATTTTATTTTGGGGAAATAGCCTCTGCTACAAACATTGTAATACAAAAATGATTACAGTGGATTATTCAAGTCAAATAATGAACACAAATATTTTAATATTACAAACAAAACATTATAAATTTAACATTAAATAATTATTTTTTTTTTTTTTATGACCTCCCGCGGCCCCCCTGCAGTACCCTCGCGGCCCACCAGGGGGCCGCGGACCCCACTTTGGGAGACACTGAGTTAAAATAATCCACTCAATCCAAGTCTGTTGACTGTTAAGTGTTGGACTTAAGTGTCATGACTGAGCTCACTGTGACAGGCAAATTAGTTTGAAAATACACACAATATGAACTCTATAGCGCCACCTATAGGAGGCTTTGAACCTAGAAATAAACTGCATAAAAAAAGTCACTGGGTCAAATCTTTTAATCCATACAAGCAAAAATGTTACATTACGCAGAGGGTGCATGTCCCACAGATGACCACTAGGGGTGAACTATAGCGTGCTCTCCTGACCACAGGCTCAGACCTACAGAGCTGAAACTCACATCACTAACAGTTGGTAATGACCTGAGAGTAATGGTGTGAAAACACACACCTTATATGACTCTACAGCGCCACCTATGGAAGGTTTCTGACCTAAGCTTTTCCTCTCCTCACCAAAGTTGCACAATCAAATCTTTACACTGGTACGAGCAAAATACTGCTCTACGTAGAGGGTGCATGTCCGGACGTAACCACTAGGGGTGCACTTCATCCTATTAATGAGGTATTATGTACGTAATCCTGGTCCCATCGGGCTGCCAATTCGTCGGCGAGTACGCCGCGTGACGCTTGTGGGACTGGCGCCCGGGAGGCGGTCGCAAGAGTGGCGAGGCCTTTCATCGCCGCTTGCGGCTTTAATTATTTTTATATTTTCTTTGTAAGTCCAGACATGAGCCCTATAATGATTGCCCATTTAGATGCGTTCATTATCGGAGGAAAGTCCAGTTTGCCTTAGCAACCACGTTAGCAACACATTACGCCGCGACGCTAAAACCACCGGAACAAATGCCCATAAAAGGAAATTGGCTCCAGCTAGCTTATGCTCAAAACGGCTTTTCAACCACTATGCGTGACATCAGCACAAGGTCAGTCCACTCCTGTCTATGGACCAAAACACCAAAATGCATTCAAGTGGATCAACATTGCATTCATAAAGACACATAAACCACATTTAGTTTTACCTGCATCGTAGTCATCGTCCAGAACAGCTTTGTGCTGCAGCCGCTGGAGCTTCAACATCATGGACTCGATCTGAAACAGAGAAATGCCCAAATGAGTCTAGAGGGCACAACAGTTTAAACACTAAAGGCCCAGTGCAAAAGAGCAGAGATGAGCGCAGGCAACGGTTTGTCCAAAAGTGACTGAGAAGTTATATAAGGGCTCTGCTAACCATAAATGAGCAATAATGTGTTACTTTGATGAGAAACATTTTCAATCAGGACAATGTTCTGCTGTGAAGAGTTTCATTAATCATGTGGTGTACTGAACGTTCTAGATATCACATGAAGTTAGTATGAAATTATGATTTTTATAGCATGACTTTCTCTAATTCCTCAATATCAATCAACAACTCGCCACCAGTTTTTTGGTTTATGGTTGCTTGAAGACATGCTGTACGTCTGTGCCTTTAACTGCAACATATACAATCCAATACCAATAAAAAGATAGATTATTTGTTTTATCATTATGAACTTAAAGCTAGGTTTCATAATTAATACATTTTGTTTGTCCCAACAGAAAACACACCATACTGTATTTACCTTTAAAAAGCAAATCAAAAGATGTGATAAAGTTTTTTTATATAGTTTCACTTTTTGAAGTTTGAAAGTTGGGTCCCCTCGCTTTAAACATGATGGAAGGTTCTGCATTAAATAATAGCCCACAAATAGTTGCCCAAAATCTCAATATAAGGGTCCAATGATCTCAGCTTGGACAATAGTTTTGACCAAAAGCAGATTTCATTACATTTTTTTGACTGTGACAATATGTTTACAGTGGATTCCTAGTTTTTCTCATTAAATGACCGCTTGTTCTAACTAGAATAGAAAAGGGACATAAATAATGTACCACTACAGATGACTAAAGCCATTTTCCCAAAGCCTTAGCTGTGTTTGTCAAGCCTGTTCAACTGGTGGCTCCAGGGCAAATGTAGGCCCGCCAAGCATTCTGATATGGCCCAAAGTCTCTCTTACATATTATGAAAAAAGCCCTTGTTTACCAATGTATTGAAGTTAAAATAAGTATGATTATGGCAGATAATGTCAAGAAGTATTCCATATGTTGCAACAAAATCTTAAAGGATCCTGATCTAGTGTATTTTGTGCATCACCAACAGCTCTATCCTACAGTATATCTACATTCATGTCATATTGTGCGTCTTTAACCTCACCTTGGCGTGTGTGCGGTTGTTTTGCAGACACTCTTGCAGAACTCTGTCAAATTTCTTCAGCTGATTCCCCCAGCCCTGCTCTGCGGAGTTGGGAGTGGCGCTCTCGTACCCAGAGGTGACCGATGAAGCCGAGGCCGTGTCCGAATCCACAGACAGGGACGACGTGATCTCTGTATCCACTGAACGAGCATCGATATCGGGCAAATCTGCTCCGGTCACTCCCCCTGTCCTGGTGCTCCACAGACCTTCTCTCCAAAACTTATTCTCCTCTCTCTCTGACAATGAATGCACATGTTTTTGATGATTGGATTGGTCTAAAGGCGCAACGTTAGCTTGATCTTGCCGTTCTGATGTTGCGTCTAGATCTTGGCTACAATTGAGTGACTGCTGGATGAAACTAAAACTTGAATTAAAAGAGTTCTCACAAGGTTTCTTCAAGATTTCTGAATTGGAAACTGAAGATTTAAATGTGCCATTGCAGGTCATAGTGGAATGTGTAGAAATTGTGTTTTTTATCTGGTGCAAAACGTTGCTTGAGAGTTCATTAGCCTGATTCAGTGAGTTCTTGGTATTTGTTGCGTCATTAGCAATGCTAGCGGGACGTCCGGATTTCCCCGTCCTCGAAGCTCCACACCCTTCCTCCTCTTCCTCCTCCTCTTCATCATGGCTGCCGCTCCTCTCTCCCCGCATGTATCCAGGTCGCTTATGCCTTTTCCGACCACTGCTGCCAATTGACCCACATGCCCTGCCACCTGGAGATAAAGAGATAAACCATTTAGAGTTCAGATCGATAAACAAGCTTCAGCAAATGCCTGAAGTGGAGATTTTGACAAAATATCCAACTTTCATATTTTGGCATTTGGGATTACAAATCAATCTGCAGTTTGACTGATAGGACAACACTCAAACTACACACTGAACTTGGTTTATAATCATGTACAGCATTCAAAAACACAATTAAAATAAGTGAATACAGTCTAAGTATTATTTATTACCGCCTCTTAGTGATCACTGGCGTTTATCGGTTTGTCTGTGTGTCTGTGAGTAACATAACACAAAACGTTTTGGGATGATTTGGACAACATTTTCAGGAAATGTGTACTGAGGTCATCCAAATCTCTGTCTGGAGGCAGGATTCTTTTAAAGGAATGGAACTTTGTGCGATGTGCTCTACAAGTGCTTTTTGTGTGTGTATGTGTGAAATTAAATGTATGGGTGACCTAACTGTTGTTGTCTGTTGTTGTCTGTTGAGTCGTTGGGTTGACGGGTCAATGGATATGTGGAATTGTTTTAACCAACTGTAAATTTCTTTCATAAAGAAAGTTTGATTGGAATGGAAAAAGACATGACATTTTAACTTAAAGGGGACGTACTGTATGTAAATGCACTCTTTGTAGTCTCATAAAGTCATTACAATTAAAATCCAATTTTGTTGCTAGAATCTTGCCATGTGGCCCATAAACACTGAGAAGTGATGCCACCCACGTGCCCTGTTTATTTAAAAAAAAATAGCTCAAAATGTTTTTTATATATTATACATGACTATACATTTATAAGCCAAAACTAGATGCATTTTTTCTAACAAACTGGCAACTGAAATGAGAGGCTCATTCTGCTCTCTGTAAACGTCAATATCATATCATTGATTTGTTTGTATTAGGATCAGAAAAGGTCAAATCGGATTTTAACTCGTTGCCCTGTTACTGTACATGGTGACACATATAAAAGTTTAATTTAAAATCCTAAGTTTTGAGCAAATGATTGCTTGAGATAAGACTAAACCTGATATTTTGATGGCATATATTAGATCATAATTTTATGTCTGTTCAGATTAAAAAGTATTCTTTCGTGGTTAGCTAGTCAATTTGTGAATTCGTTATTCTATAATATGTCTTGCAGTCCAAAACCGGAGCCAAATAGACACTGGATAAGCTAATTACATAAGAATGCATGAGGAAATGTTATCTCCTTATCAACACCTCATTGATTTGACAGGGGCTAAAGCTAACATACAGCCAGATGAAGGAAAACAACTGCAGCAGCGGTTGGAGAATTTTCCCATGGGTTAGAAGCTCCAGCTGTTGGAAATACCAGAGCCTCCCAGTCATGTGGAGTCCAATACTCCACGACCAGAGGAGGGGCCAAGGGAGAAAACAAATAGGGCTGTAATGGTTTGAAATTTGAACACTGCTGCTGATAGTGTGAGACACCAAATTTATAATACATCTACTGGCTGTATATCTATTGTTTTTTCCCCCGCATGTGGCCTATATCTACACAAAATATCTCAAAGCTATTTTTCTTCTATATTTACAAAACTACAATTGAGATCAAGATTCAGTAATGAAGTCATAATGGAGACATCCACCGTACAAGCAATGTATTTTGAACCTGGAGCCATTATAATCCACACATCTAGTCCTATTGAAGACCGAGTTCAGCATAATTGACAAGCTTGATTAGAAATGGTAGCTTTGACAAGACCAAGTATTTGTATACAGTGTTTCCTTGGGAGTTGAATTAGTTGCACTTGATACTAGGAAATGAATGAGAATAAAGGCTTTTTAGTCAGATGTACATACAGTATGCCTCATTGCACTGATTAAACCCCAGACTGTAGCTCGGTGAAATATTGTGTTGTGCAAAATAAAGGCATTTACAAAGCCTTGTCTGTGTGTGGCTCGTCCCACCTGCAGCAGCCTCAGGCCTTCAATACAAATAAAGTGTAGGACTGAGGGCAGAGGCTCAAATGTGAGGAGTCAAGGCTCTCTTTGTGCCCAGCTGCGCCTCTCTCTCACAACTGCACACACACACACACACGCACACACACACACACTCAAAGGGACCAGTGTCACATAGGCTTTTGTAGTGTCATAGTGATGGCATTTAGAAGTTTAATGGCTAAGTACAAAGATTATATGCATGTAAGTGTAAATTCAACAGAGCCCTGCAGCCCATAATCCATTTATCCTTTGTATTCATGGAAAGTGAATAATCTGGTGAATGTTGGAGGTGGTAGCAGAGGCACTTGCTTCTGTCACCAAAGAGTGCAGAGTGACTTCATTGTAATGGTGCTTTGAGAGACTTCAACAAGTCTGTAGAGGCATTTATATCCATCCATTCATTCATTTTTTCCCGCTTTATTTGTTGTTGGGACGAAGGGATGCTTCTTCCAGCTCACCCGGGGGGAATCCCCAAAGCCAGCTGAGAGACTAGTCCCTCGGTGCCACAGCCTGCGGTGTCATCACTGGATCATGTGACCAACAGGAAGAAAGACCTCGAATCAAAGAGAACAGCCATTGTGTTCTGGGCATGTATTATGAGCCTTTGCATACGTACGTCTCGACCTTTATCCTCCTGGAGCGGCTTGTTATGTAACGCCTTGTGATGTATGGTGGATGTGAAATGAAGACCATGAAGAGATTATGAAGTATATATAGAATTATGCAGAAGTGTGAAAGCAGAAAGTACAAAATGTTGTAAATAATCTCAACATTCAGACTGAGGCAAATTCAGCACAAGATGTTCTGCAGAGTTTTAGGATATTCACGGTAATCAAAAATAACAGACAAACTTAAGAAGAATATTTTATCTGTTATCTGTGTCTGATTCCAAAGACATTGAGACAGTGTCTGTTTTTCTTCCGAATGTGACTATGAGAAAACTAAACATTTACTTTGAAATTAAAAAGTCAATTTTAATCTGTTGTTTATGTACTTTTTACAAGCTGGGAGCCAATCCAATATTATAACCAATAAAGTGATTTATGTAATTGTTTGACATTGTAAGTTGTATAATAGAAGCAAAATATATTAAATAATTTTCTGACTTTCACCTGTATGGATCTGTACTGCATCCATTCCACACATAACCTTTCCTTTAGTTACTTCATCCCAGCTCCAAAAGCAGTAGAATTGACCTTGAGTGAAAAAAACCACCACACTGCATTGTCTTTGGAGACCCCTGCGTCCGTCTCGTGTTACACTCCCTCCCCTCCCCCCCCCCATTAGAGAGTGGCCTTCTCATACGTGTCCAGGGATCTGCAGCAGCCTCCCGAAACACAACACCATCTATGGGTATCCAGCCGGGACGTTTGCCATCTGCTGCGGCCGTGTCATAATACGGCACTTCTAAAAGTCAGGAGAGGAGAAAGAGAAAGCCGGACACTCTATCTGCACCAGCGACTGAACTGAGAGCCTCTGTGCCGTGGAAGGGGAAGGAAATGCCTCAAGCTCCATTGTATGTGCTGGGGGCATCTGTAATGGTCAAAGCACTCCAACGCTGTTCAATCTTCCTGCTTGGTTTGGAGCTAAATTGATGGACCGGAAAAAGGAAATATGCCATGCAAAGGCAAATATTTTAAGTATGTTGTTTTGGAAGAGGGCTATTTTTGAATCTGCAACAAGGGAGATCTACTCATTTAACTTAATATTGTTTTGTATGGTTTGCCATAGTGTCATCCATTTTCAGTAATCAACTTATTATTTTGGTGATAAAAAATAAGAAATCAAACAATTATGGTGGTTGTCTCTTGGTCAGTAATAATAGCAGGTTTTAACAGTAGATCAATTCTAATTATCAATTATACTGAGATTCTTATTCAAATATGAACACAATTAAAATCACCTTGTCCAAAGTTTATAGATATCAGTCAAGAGGATTGGAACAGGCAGATAAATTAGAATGTCAACAAACAAAAAAATCACATAAAAAATAGTGTGGTAACTGTAAAGTTTACATGCACTGTATAAAAATGTATGGTTCCCAAAGGAAAATGTGTCCTCAATTCAATTTAATCCAATCCACTTTACTTCTATAGCACATTTAAACTACAGAACAGTTCCAAAGTGCTGCACAAAGAAAAAGAAAAAAAAGTACACAAAAAAAACTCCATGTAGCTTAATGTTTATATATAGCCCTGACTCACAACAGCATTTGTCCAAGAGAACCTTACAAATGTGTGAATCAAACAATTACAAACAGGAAATGCACATGAGAGTCATTGGTCAATAGGATATAGGGACGACCAAGGACTGTAATTGTTCATACATGACCTGGATCATCACTGTCCTTAGACCCCCCTGCATCAGCGAGGAACCACTCAAAAACACAGTGAGAAAAAAAAATGCAAGAAACTTCTGGGAGACTCGCAGTGAGAGAGATCCCACAGACGAACACGCTGCAGATCCAGAACGCAAGAAGCTTCTACTGTTTATTTACAGAGAGCGGGCTTGCATCTGCATCAACCTGTTGTTATGGAGGTTTTGGAAACAGTATAGATCTCCTTACGTAATCGGGTGCTGTCTTGATTTCAAAAAGCTATACCATGTTCCTTTGCTTTAAGAAGGCAAATGAATATTTATAATATATTGCTGCTTTCAACGTCGAAGCCCTACTTTCCCCACAAATTCATTTCAACAATTAAGTTTCTTTCAGGACTCTTCATTGTGCTGCAATAGAGTAGCTTTCCAGTGGTTTCAAACAAACACTCATTGAACCCAAAGAGAAGCATAGCAATGAGGAGCTTTACAAGTCTGTGAAAAAGTAACGCTGTGCTCTGAGGAGGCTGGATTATTTACCTTTGGAGATCACAGAGGCCCAGGACAGAGCCTGTAGGTTAAACACTGCATCTCATTGGTGGGATGTGATTGGAGTGCTTAAGTCTGAGAGCAGAGGAATGTGGAGGATCTCATAAAAACACTGCAACATTTGAGAAAGTAAAAGGCTTTTCTGCAGCGTCAGACACTGAACACACACAGAGCCATAAGCAGCAACACGTGCAACCCTCTGCTCATGACCGCGCTATGACAAAAGAGGAACTGAAAACCACTTGCAAAACTTCACTATATGACGATAATAGGTTAAAGAAGGGTGTTTGGACAGGAATTGTGATTACGATACCATGCACTCTAAGCCTAATACTGTGTTAGTAGTAGTGGAGAGCATCGCTGGGATAGAAGGTAGAAACAGCAAACAGGTGAAGATATTATTATAACAGCCTGTTTTCATCATTAATCATACAATGTCCTTTGTTTTGTATGACTGCACCATTTTGGCAATATTTTGAATTGCATTTTTTCTAACACACACAGTGAATGTGTATCAAACAACATCAAAGGGATTTCAATTGAAAAACACAATAAGCAACATACAATTTGCCAATACGCAAATCATGACACATTTCCAAATAAAATATTTTTCAGGCAATCTCTGAAGACATGGCATAAGCATGGAAATGGGCTATAATCAGCTGATGTGGGTACACTTACATATTTTGGTGCACTGTCCCTTTAGCAATTGAATAAATATATGAAAATAAAAAAATAAAGTGGGAAAAGAACATTTTGTATGCTAGTTTGAGAGAATGCTGTCTTTAAAGCAGAGTTGCCAAAAGAATCATAACGTTTTCTTGTCTTTTCATTTAAAACTTTATAAAGACAAGAATGTTTCACTACTGCACAAATCATGTATATAAAATAAGGCTACTAAAATGTGTATTGTTGTCTTTTTTCTGTGCCCCAGGACGGCTGTGACTACAAAAGCTTAACACCTTCACGAACAGAGTGATCCTAAAAAGCGCCACAAAAAACTGGTGCAGAACCTTTAGTGCCTCTTTTCGAAACTAAATGTTAGTTACAGTAAGTGTGCAGTTAATAATGGTGACAAATGTAAAGGAAATGAGATCAGAGAGAAGGGTCTATTATTAAATCCGATCACACCACAAATGCATCAACTCTGCACAATGGACCGAGACATAAACTTAACCACGCTGTGAATGCACGAGTCTCCATATCAAACTCTGGATCTGTTTTCTGTTGTGCTGAGAGCATCCATTCACCGTGGCTTGTTGACACATTCCACATTCCTCACAATAAATCATTATTTTATGGTGTTTATAGTTTAGTCACAATTAGAATGTGATGTACAAGCACCTCTGAGTTTCCAATTGAACCAAATACAAACCAGCAGCTCCTTCTGTCCTAAATAGATGTCTGAAAGATCAATATTGCCCAGAGGAAATGTCAGGAAAACCCCCTTTAGACACAGTGACATCAGCTTCAAAATGGACTAAAATGCGACTTCCTGTCTCATCATGTGGGGGTCATAATGTGAATGGAGGCACTCTGTAAATCCATAGAGATTTGTTTGACGTTTTTTTACGTCCAGCCATTTTCCACACCACTTGGGCAGAATAAATGTGAGACAGTTGATCATGCGTGAAAAGAGGTCACCGTATGTTAATTCTGTATATGTTTTTTTGTTTTAAATGCACAGCTGAGGATGAAGACGACATCAAATATAGAGGAGAAATAAGCAATTAGTGTTTTGATCCTATAATCTCACTGAGAGTATTTCTTTGACTATTGACTATTGTTACAGCGCATTGAAGAAGCCATACAACAAACAATGCCTTGTGTTTGTAATGCTTGGTTTAACCTGTATACGCCGTCAGATGTGGTCGCTGCATTGGACTGGAGTGGAGTGGAAAGGCAAATCTGAATGTTTTGTATTTATTGATCTTTATTTATAAAGTCCCACTGAGATTTCAGAGTATATTTTTCAGAGGAGCCCTACAGAGAGAATGGGAGCTATTAAACATGGTAGGGGAAACCGGAGCACCCCGAGGTAACCTTGGAGAGACCACTCAAAGGCCTTCTCGCTCAAAGCCAGTTACAGCTCTGAATTTGCCCTATCCTATGGTCAAAAGAAAACCAGATTGGGGATACAAGCTCTGAAATAACTTTGCTCTATTAAGTGGTGCTTTCTTATAGATAGAGGGACGCTCTGTCACTCAAGCTTGGAGTAGAGCCACTATTCTATCTTTTAGAATAGTAACTCTTTCGAATGCAAGTCAGACTATACAGTAAGGCACTTTAAGTCACTTGCATTAGGACTGAAAAACTTGCACTACTATTGAAACCGTTTCTTGATTGCCACTTTTTATTTAAATTTTATTTTTCTTTCTTTTGCACAATCTTTAGTGATTCAATCCATGCCAGATGTGACATGTAAATTTCTCCTGTGTAAGATAAATAAAGTCTATCTTATCTCATCTTAACTTGGAGACCCTTGGGAAAGACCAGAGTATGCAGAGGGTATTTGTTAGTTGGCCTGGGAGCGCCTTTAGATTCTGGGTGAGTTAGACAGATACAGTATAGTCTGGGGGTCAGACTGCTGCCTCTCCAACCCGGCCTCAGATAAAGCGGAAGAAAATGATGGATGGATACAAAATGTTGTTTTGCCAAGACTATATCATGAACTCTGTAAATCAAGTCTACATACACAAGTTACAGTTGATATTCTTCAGCCAGAAACACAATCTGATCCTGGACCAGGAATCACAAGGGAATTTTTACAACATATGTTGAGATGATAAAACCAACAGCTAACACAACACTAAGACAAATGTAAAAGGAGTAAGTTGTATGTGTGAGTTGTAATATCTTAGTAGTGCACAGCTGCTGGCATCATGTTCTTTACTGTATCTACTGTTTATTTAAGAACAAAGTTAAACTGACAGCTTGGATGGTGTGCAGATGCAGATAAAGAAAAAAAGTATCGTATAGTATACTTTGAACCAATCAGAGCTCGTGTGAAAAGGCAAGGACAGACAGAACAAAATCTCCTAAATACTAAATAATAAGTAAACTTGTAAATCGTTCAGGCTCTTCTTCTTACCTTCTTTGACTTCGCTGCGGTGAAGGAGCGAGCTACTGTGGCACTCCAAGCCAATAAGTCCAGCGAACATCTTCAAAAACGCAGATAGTCCATTACATTACGCATCATAGCGGATCCAAACCATGGAGAGAACTTTATTGCAGTCACAAAAAATGAACCCAGGTCAGTTGTTTGCATGTAGGCCTACTGTGAGATTAGCCGGCTTTGTCCTCAATAAACGTTTCCTGCTGTCCAGTTGTGCGCGTCCTCTCCTCTTTGCGCTTCCCTTACATGAAGTTGTGTTCGCTTCTATCGGGACAAAAGACACTAGAGCGCATGCCTTTTATCAGAGCTGACTTCGTCCACGCGTGAAGAATTTAAGCGCAATAAATTGATCTCTTGATGGGTGCGTGTAATCCGCTATTCAGTGCGCCTCCTCTCTGCTGCCGCGCGTAAAGCTGAGGCTGGACCAACGTGATGTGACCGAGGCTCCTACGTGTTCAGGAATTTGACTCCACGCACCTTCAAAAAGATCAACAACAGACAAACTAGAGAGATTTGTAGTTTGGGCTTTTTAAAAATCTATGTTGTGACGACGTCTCCAAACGACTTTGTCAAAAATCTATTGTCTTAAACTGATTCCATGTTCAACTTTTTTTGAACGTTCCCAGTGATGATGAAATAGCTTGTTTTTCTCCTCCCAGTTTTTGCAGTTAAATTGGAGCCCTCTGGAGGTTGGACAGAAGACACAGATTTGCTCAATAATTAAGATTAAGCACGTGTAATTTTGGGATTCCCGAATATAATTATGGACATTAGATTTCCATTTGTGACAAGCCTAACATGAGTGGCAATTATTTCTACAGTCTATGGATTACAATAGTCAGACAATTGGCTATACTTTTCTATTCAATCAGCATCTTAGACCGTTCACTTTCTTGCAACAAACAGATACATTCTATTCAATAACGGAGAATGCATATTGTTGAGTGAGGTTTCCTGACATTACAATAAACATGTTCTCAAAATGTATGAAAGTGCATGCTGCAATAGAGTAGCGTGCCCCAATTTAATTACAGTAATAAATGCTGATAAAATACTTCATCATTATGAAGTGAATGTGATTCAGCAGGGGAAAGTCCAACCTGGTGCCCTTGAACGTAAAACAATATACAGTAGATTTTTTTATATAGGTATTCACTGTTGACCATAGTTGACCACTAGATGTCAGCATATACCTGTAAGAGCCAGGGCAATGTCTGTGAACTGTGTATAGAGACGTGTCATATCATTACATTATTACTAAGATATTATATTATTAGGTTAGAGCACAACTCATCCGCAGCTATCAAGCAGGTGATAGATACCACAGCCACGTAAGAAGCCTAATAATGTCCAATGTCGCAATCAAAAATAAACAACGTCATCAAATCAACAAATCTGTTTCCCTTGAACGTGGAAATGCCTGCCTTTATCAACCCATAACTAAATGTTCCTTGGTCCTTAACTAGTTGTTCTACACACATATGGATGGGGGGGGCAGTAGGCACACAAAAGTATGGCAGCCACAGTGTACCATAGGCCCCTCCAACCACCACTATCACTCACTCACTCACCATTCAGATTGTTGTATGTTTTGAGTAGTGAGGGAAACCGGAGCACCCAGAGGAAACCTACTCAGACACAGAGAGAAATATGCATTAGTAGTTAAACAGTTATAAAGCTTTGGATCCACTATACATGTACTAGTGTATCAAATATCAAATTGCAGTAAAAATAAGAGTAAAAGTTACATTTCCTGCTATTGGGTTTGTATTTTCTACTATTTCTGTGGATTAGTAGAGAGAAGTTGAGAGTGCTGGTAGAGAATGTGGGCCAGAGAATAGAAAACTCCCATGATCCACCTCCAGAGCAGAAGCCAAAGACTTTACCTTAGATTATCTGAGCATGATAGAATGCCACAGGGGCGGAGCTGTGCGGCAAAACAAAATAAACACACACATTTATCAAAGACAGTGCGAGCAGGAGGAATTGGCACGGGAACTTTATTCACGCCGAACAACTGAAGTCTCAAAGATAATTATCAAAAACATGGTGCCTTACGGTGAGTAACACTGGTGTATTTGACAAACAACAAAAAGTCACCACACAAACTATTTTCTCTTTGAGCAGCATTTAAATGATACAAACATATGCACCGGTCATCAGCAATACAACAATAATTAGAAGGTTTTTATGTATCCAATTTACTTCAGTAGTTAAATATAAAGAGATCTTGAAAAGCTAATTGTGGATATTATGTGAAGTTTTTGTTTTTCCGTTATAACAATTTAATCTCAACAGGACTACTCTTTGATAACTGAATGCTATAAACCAGAGGTATCCAAAAACAATCAGAACAAATGGATAGCCACAGATTAAAAAAAGTTGCAATTAGCAGCATTTTAAACTTTCAGTGACAAAAAAAACAATCCATATCAGAGTCATGTGAGCCAATTCCTTCAGAGAGGGTGGAGAAAATATGAAGGCTGCATTTTGTCTCAGGTCATAGATTGGACGCTTTGGCTAAGCACAATGAAACACAAATGCCATCTTGGTTTTTCTATGATTGAGATAAAAGTTAAAATGTCAGCAGAAAATTATCCACAATTTTCAAAGTTTCTATAGTAATGACGTCCAAGCACTCTTACATTAGGTATTTATTCTACTTTCAGATTAAAAAGGTGCCTTCTGTTACTTTTCTCGTGGGAAATTATGAACTTGGTTGTCTCCATGTAACTAAAATATGTAACTGAGTATATTAAAAACCAGATCCTCTACTGAAATGAGTGTATATTTGAATACTGATACAAATTAATGTAATAATGGAAGACTCAATACTGCCATTGTTAGAGCTGAGGTACCTAACTTTGAAACCACAACATAACCCTGTGATACAATGTAACTAGATCCACACTCTCAAAATAGTTTGGCTCTATCACTAGTTTTTCAGTGTAAAAGAGAGGACCACTCTCACTCGGCCAATCAGCTCACAGTATGTAAAAGATAAATGTTTTCTAAAAGACAAAAAAGGCATGTTGTGGTTTGATTTGTTCACAAAAAAGTTACTAAAACAAGACTATTGCTGTAGAGACAAATAATATATTGAATAGAAAGGTACTTGAGAGCATGCAGGGACTAAACCAGGCCCTCCTCGGAGTCCATGATGGCGGTTCTGCTGCTGAACACGTCCGCCAACATGTGCTTGGGGATCTCGGAGCCACGCACGCGCAGGGTGTAGCAGGCGTCCTCCACTTTGCCCAAACTCTGCCGGAGCGTGTGCAGCTTCTTGGACACTTCGTACGGCCCGGTGTTTCCGATGTAGGAGAACCCGTCGTGGATTTGTCGGAGGAACTGGCTGAGCTGAAAGGGCGTGTCGATGTCGCCGTTCCCCACGCTGCTGATGCACAGGCGCATCAGCTCCCCGGTGAGGTCGGCCACGCCCAGTAGGTAGTCTGAGGGCGTCACCTGGAAGGTCAGGACGTGTGAGCCCGCGGGGTCGGCCTCAGCAGGAGCCTGAGGAGGAGAGGTAATGTGAATGCGTTGAAATATAATGTAAAAAACACATTTAGACACAGTAAAAATAGATTTCTTGATTTGCAATTGTATGGCCTATTTATGATTAGAGCTGGGGTGCCCAATGTTTTGAAAAATTCAGCCATTATCTTAATAGAAAACATTTCATGAGCTGAGAGGCTAGGGGAGGGTGGTCCTCTCTTTTCCAATTCGCTGTATGAAAAAGCTGATCTAAAAATGTGATAACCCCAAAAGAAGATGCTTGTGATAACTAGTGGTAAAACCAACAAGATTTAAAAGTGAGTAAAGTTGGTTGGATTTGACAAAGTAAGATACCATAGCTTTAAATTAATTTACAAAACAGATATCTTCATTCTGATCTTATGTTACTTTAATGTTATAATACATTCTGCTATTTTTATAATATGAACTCTTTGCATCTCTAAGGTACCCTTGTGTGTTAATACAGGTTTGATACTAGAACAGGGGTGTCAAACCGGTTCCAGAAAGTGCCGGTGTGGCTGCAGGTTTTAGTTCCAACCTGTCTGGTGTGCTCCTGCTCAGGTTGGAACTAAAGCCTGCAGCCACACCAGCACCAGCCCTTTGAGGATAGTTTTGTACTAGAATGATGACACTTGAAAGAGCACAGACCTGAATCAACTAAAATACAATTGAATTCAACCTCTTTGTTTAATAGCGCATTATAAAATTTGACAGGACCCAGATTGCCACTCCACGGCTTGAGGCAACACGTAGCCCCCACAGCAACCATCTATACAACCGGTAACTGCACAATCATGACATTTCCAAGAGCCATACTGATTCTGTTCTGTCACCTTTGGATCCTCCGCCTCTGTCCTCATGAACACCAGTCGGGCGTTAACCTCCTCCAGGCTGATGAGGCTGCGATGGCGGATGAAGTGCTGGAACGAAACAGCTTCCACGTACTCCTGGATACCTGCAACACACAAAAACCAAAATACCTGTCAATGCTTTCAAACACATTTATATTACTAGTGGCTTAACTGACCCTTCAGTCTGAATGTTATTTCACTTTCTACAAAACACTGAGGAGGAAAACCACCTTACACATCGAGTGGCACAGGCTGGTGTTGTGAAATGACTTGACTTTTAACCTGCCTTGCGAGGTAGTCTTATGCTGAAGCGTGTTCTGTGTGGAAAAATACAACCAAATATAAAGGTTATTTATATAAAGAAAAAAACTGTTTTTTAGCCCGTTGATAACCTGCGGGTCAGGTGAAGCAGAGCATAAAACTACACACAAGTCAGTAATGACAGCATAACAAGAGTGAAGCTCGTATTGTCAAAGTTTGGGATTTTGCACGTTCTGCTATTTCCCTAAAGAAATAGTGGAAAATGTTTACATTGCTCCACGGTGCACTAGTCCATTGTAATGCTATTCCTTTGGGTTCTGGGTAGACTATACGTAAGAAAGTAAATAAAACAACCTTTATTTATATAGCGCGTTTCACAGACCAAGGTCACACAAAGCGCTTCAGAATGTTGGTGTGAGTTCCATTCACTCCACACACGGTGATGACAGGAGCGCAGGAGCGAGCGGTGGAACACCTGGTGACCATCACCATCCTCCACATACTCATTACAGTCTTCTAGAGTGACTTCAGGAGAAAGTCAGGAGTTTGTTTTGACATTCCTGTCCAAACAATGAAAAGCTGCTGCAAAACAACATGGTAACCTTTCCCACTATTGTCCTTACACCTACTGACACACATTTCCTTGAATAAAGGGGGTTGTGTAGTGCCCTAAGCCTGCACACAAACGAGAGAGGATTGATAAAATTCTGATGTATTTATTTTTCTTTTCGCCGTATGCACCGGCTGTATATTCATCTGTGAATTAGAGCAAACCCAGAACCTTTTTTAAATATTATCATTATTTTGATTCTTTTCTATTTATTTACTTTTCTTGTTTGGCGAAATGGGTGAAAAAACTGGAAAAAAAAGTGTCTAATATGGCATTGGAAATTCGCTTTGATCATATTGAGATGTACTGCGCAAAGATACAATAAAATATGAACCAAATATATAAAGATCTGACATGTTTTCCTGCTGTGGCCTTTTGACAGGAGCGTCGCGGTTCTACTTAGTGAGCTCAGATGAACTCGCTCTTGTTTTCTGCTTCTGTGTAAACAACAATCAAATAATCACAGGACGGAAGACTTTGTGTCTGCAGTTTACTTTGGGGGCTTCAAAGCAGCTCCTATCTCGTGAGTACAGGGAGAGAGAATGAACCTGGTGCTGGGGGTAAGATACTATGTGTGAAAGAAGTGATGGTGAGAGAAAAGGGACCAAAACAAGTAGTCAGAAAAAAACAACTTTGTAGCCAAGTTGTAAAACATGTGGTTATACAAATAATCACAGTTTTGGCAAAGATAGATTGGCAGTATTTAATTTATGTTGAACAATTGTCTTTCCCATGGTTGATAATGGTGTTGCTAACAAACAGACGGAAACAATGAAAGGCATGCCAGAGGTGGAGGGACTGTAATTTATCATCACAGCTGATCTAAAATGAGTTCTAATTGACAATTTAATGATTGCAGACATTATCCCATGCCCTTGAATGCATCTGTGTGAACAAATAAAGGCTTGTGAGATACTGTATGTGCATGTAATTGAAGTTGAAAAGCGCATTGTTTTATAGACGAACAAAACGTGTATGTAAAAGGACTTAGAGAGAGACAGTGTGAGCAGGCAGGAAGCCACATAAACATTACCCAGCAAGCTTTGATGCAGGTGGAGTCCAGTTCCTGACGGTCAGACGCCCTGTGCATCATTTACCACACAGCAACAATAACAGCCTTTCCTCGGCCGATGTACATTTGTAATTGAATAGAAACGCATCAAACACTCCTCACCTCTATAATAGCACTTTATGAGCGCCACACTGAAAATCTTCCCCAAGGGACACTCGAGATTAGTGTTGAAGGACATGTTGGGGGGCGGTTTCCTATGGACTGTGTTTGACTTATTCTAAACACTGACAAAAAAAAACACATGCACGAAATTTGCCAAAGGAATAAGCAGAGAAAGCTTGGGGACCTAAGTTTAAAACCAGAACAAATATTATAATAAAATGTATCCATCAAACTAATTTCTTGCTCACTAAACAGTTTGGTTCTATCACTAGTTTTTATTCATATTTTTGGCCTCCGTCACATTTGTAGATCAGCTTTTTAAGAAAAAAATGTGAAAAAGAGAAGACTACCCACACTCAACCAATCTGGTCTCAGCCCAAAGAGTCAAATACCTTTAATCAACGTATGCCAAAATATCACATGTTTTATATTAGTATAAATACAGTATATTGTGGTCTGATTTGTTCACAACATTTAACTTTTACAAAATATAGAGTTCGTATGTTGTTATTTGAAATGAGAAATGTTTGAATCGAGTCCAAATCCCCATACATTAAGTTTTGGGATGCAATTAAAATAATATCCAGCCATCCATCCATTTTCTTCCCCTTAATCCATTTCTGGGTCGGGGGGGTAGCAGTCAGAGCTGCACCCAGTACACAGACAGGTGGTGAGTCCCACTTAAGTATCAGTTCTATGATATTAGTTAACCTAACTGGGCCTTTCAATTTAAGTAATAAAACTGATATTACCCCAGTCATAATGTTTAAACAAATTGGATCATTTTGTAAGTTAGCTTGAAAAGGTTTTATATGGTTATTTTGACATGTAGATATTAGACACGCCTACACACAAAGCCTTTTTACAGAGCTCTTTATAAATGATCTATTGGTAATAACTCATCATTTGTTTCAGATTTTTCCAAGATTAAATGAGGCACAAATGTGGTTCAAATATGTTAATGTTTGACTAGTGTCCAGTCGCACAGCGGGTGAACTGGGGCACTTGTGTTGTCTCTCACTTTATCTAATGCCTCCTGGTTCAGCCTACGATATCTGCACCACAAGGACATTCACTCTGCATGCATCGGAGACATCTTGGCCTGGCGGAATTATCTGGACAGTCTGTAATCTAATAAAGACAATAAAAAAAAAGAAAATCAAACTTGGTAATTGGTGGGAACTGCCACTGGTCACGTTGCAAAGGAGGCAGCAGCAATTTCTAAAGTGGCCACAATCTAAAAACGACTTCCCCAGTGCATAGATAACAGCATTTTCTTAGCTTGGGGTGGTGTGTTTTTCCTCCAAATTCACCGACGTTTTGACTAAGCTAACACAAGCTGGTATTGATGCTAGTGGGAAAGTGGCTTTATCAAGAGGGTGTAACTATCAGGGCACAATCTTTAAAGAATTGAGATAAATGTAACAAGCCTTTCATCAAATGTTCTTTGCCAATAATAAAAGGCCCACTAATTTGGACAGTAAGCACAACAAAGCACTACACACAGTAGTTACAGAGTGTGTTGTCACATTTCACAGATGGCAAATACCAAAATTGGAAGCAAAAGTTACAACCATTCATGGTCCCTTTTTTCCAGATTAATTGTTTAGAACACAATGAACCTATGACTATAAGCTCTTTACTAAATATGATGCATCTCAAACTGATGTAATGCAATAGATCTGCAGGCTAAACACTAAATCACATGTTTTCTTGGTCATCTCAGATAAAAAAATAAATAGATATCAGCGTTTTTTGAGTAATAAAAAAACTTCTCTCAGTGAAGCACACGTCATCTTTAACAATGACCTAAAACCAAATGAAACGGAAGATCACTGAGGGCCCAGAAATAACAGCACAACTTTTTCCACATGGAGCCGTTTACGCATGACGCCAGAGCTGCACTTACGGCAACAAACAGACAATGTATTGAGGAGTTTTTGCATGAAATATGTGTCTTATCTGGTGAATGATACATATGCTTTATTTCATTCAGGCGTGTTTTATGAAAAGCAAAAACTATTACTAAATTAGTCAAAAGGTATATGATGTATTACCTTCCATCCATCCATCCATTTTCTACCCTTTAATCCATTTCTGGGTCAGGGGGGTGGCAGTCAGAGATGCCACCCAAGTCTCATAGCACCAGCCCCTCACTGACCCTCTGCAGGTGGTGAGTCCACAGGAGGACGGCTGCTCTCTGAGTGTGAGCATTGCCTTGATCTTTCAGTGGGAGCTTTTTGGGCAAAGTGGGGTTAAGTGTCTTGCCCAAGGACACAACGACAGCAGTCATCAGTGGGAGTCGGTGGAGAAGGTGCAAGGTGTATTACCTTCATATATAAAATACTAGATGGCATTACAGATTACTAAACCTACACACCAGTATCTAATCTTTTCAACCTGAAGTGAGAAATGATGTAATTTTAACCTCCAAAAAAAAACAAAATAGTTACATTCCAATGAGACCCTAAATGTAAATGAATCCCATGATATTGGTATGACTTTTACAGCAACAAGTGGATTTTCTTTCTCTTTTTCTTTTTTACTACACTCAAGTAAACATTGAACATGTCTAAGATCAGATGTTTTTCTTGCTCAGACAAGAAAGAATGTTACTAGGGTGTAAAACATAACGTAAAATGATCTGAGGACAAGAAACAAAAGATAAATATCTAATTAAAAGAATGAGAAATGACAATGAATGCATTTATCTGCTCTATTACATCACAGTCTGCTTCATAACCCATATCCAGCTTCCGCACCAGGAGGAGATCTGATTCAGTTCCAATCGAGGTATTATTATCACTATGGAAACAGCTACGTCAGCTTCCACCGCCGCACTCAGAAATGACAGTAAGTGGCCCGTCGTGAAAATGTGAAAATGAGAAGCTTATGTGGTGTATTTCAGGAAGCTAGATTTGATGGAACTATTGAGTCATATATGAATCAGACTTCAAAGGGCAACATCAGGGTGGGGCCAGCAGAAGAAAATAAGTACAAAAATATAAAAGTGCTGTCAAACTCTATCAATAATCAATGTTACAACACAAAACACAATGACAAAACTTATTATTGGTTTGATGAATTCATGTATATTTACAGAAATCCATTATTTCCTGGCATTTGTCCTTACACTTTAGAAAGGCATTATATATTTTAGTCTTCCCCATATCCCCACTTAATTTTCCTATTCTAAAAAGTCTACTCTGGAGAGAAAAAAAAAAAGACTTCATACATGTTTAGACGGAAAACATGGTCCCATTCCCATTACTGCAGAGATGATTTAGTTCTGCGTTCCTGCTTGCATTGAACAAAATGCAAAAATATTGAGTAACTTTATGACTCAGTTGTTGCAAATCTTGCCTTGCAGAGAATGAATGTGTAAATCTAAAGACATAATAGTTTGTTCTAAATCGACAATCAATGGGTTAGGGTCCTCATTTGTCCACACTCTGAAACCATGAAGACCCAAGGGACAATATTACTAACACACTTTTTTCAATGAATATTTGTGTTCTGTGCGGGAGACAATTCCACCTTTAGTACCGACGTGACTCACATCCTAATGAGTCATCATAGTTGGAGCTGTTTGAGGATTACACTGAGGGCGTGTGAATGAATGAGGCTCTTACCGGGCGTGAACGCTCTGTGAAACTGGTGGATGTCTTCTCCTCGGAGCTCGTCTGCGATGAGGCCAATCTTCTGCCTCACCAAGTCCAGTTTAACGTCCGCTTCTTTGAGAACCACCTCCGCATCAGGGACACTGACATGACAACATAAGAGTTCTACAACAGTTGCTAAATCGCTCAAAAAGATATGGTGCCATCAAAATTATCCCAAGCAACAGAATTCCTTTCCCTCTATCAGTTTTTACTTATTCAAGTTCAATCCAATGCATAGAAGACAAAAAAGCAATTTTTTGTCTTTGGAAGTTTGGTCTACTGTTCATGGGAGTGGATTTCTACTTCGAAGTGGTTCTCCCTGAGGTTTTCTTTTTCCCACTGGATATTTATTTTTGTGTTCCTTGAAGAGTCAAAGGATCAGGAATGTTGCGGGACATTCATTCATTTGTTTAATTCTCGTAAACATTTATATCAGTTTGTATTTTCAAACAATGACTGTTTTAATTGTTTTATTTTCTAATCATCAAAGTCATGGATTTGGTAAAGTCCATAAAAAATATTGTTTGTTATTTTGGGTTGCACGAAAATATGAAATTCGATTTTCCTTTTTGAAATGATTGAAATTTACACGGTGTGTTTTAAGGATTCAAAATAGCCTGTACCTGGTTACTCTGTGCAGAATAAATATCGTCCTTTTGCTCTCAATGGTGACGTCTCGACTGATCTTGACAAGCCGCTCATATTTGTCATGTTTGGTGTCGAGCTCCTGCTGGAAAACTAAGAATTGGACACAAAGTATTCAATTTATTAGGTGAAAAGGTTACAATAAAATAATTAGCATCCCTTCTTACCTTTAAAAGCAGCAATGACAGGAGATGACAGGTTCACACTGGTATCAGCCTTTTTACTGGAGAATCCTTCACCTGAAAGAAAAATAAGAATTATTGGAGACATTTTCTTGGTTTAAGGTTCTATATACAATAATATGTACGGACATGTGGACACAGATAACACATTGGGTGAACGAAACAACTGAATAACAAAGAGTATTTCAGATGTATGAAAACACAGCAAGTTAATAACAAATACAGTGAGACGAGAGCAAAACCATCACGTCCAAAGTTGCATTGTATATTGAAGGCAAATGCCCAGACTTTCAATTGTGTTAATGCATGACATACCTTCCCGTTTATTCATGCCTAAAAGTTGGGTTGAGGAAGAAACAACGGAATAAATTTGACTTTCCACAGTCTGAAGCAGAAACACTGAAGCAAGGACTAAACACGACTACTCTCGCGTAGTTGTACAAAATCAGTTCCTTTCTAGTTACCCCTGCAGTAAAACTTAACCTATCATGTTAAATGGATAAAAGGTAAAACCATTAGAAAAGCTACAGCAATAGACCCATGCATACGCTTCGGTTTGTTTTTGTTGCGCCGACAGGCAATTTCCAGGACTCCTAATGCGGTCTTGTGCGCATGGGTTCTCCGTATGTTGCGCAGTGCATTGTGGGATATGTAGTACAAACAAACTGTGTCGGTTTTTAAAGGTGTATTACGCATTTTTTTCTCACGGACGGTTAACTTTTTGATGGGGTGCAGCTAAAGGTTGTGTTTTTTGCCTAAAGTATTCCACAGTATGTCGAGGACTTCCGTAGTGCATGTCTGTCTAAATCATATCAATTTAATGAATTTAAATCATCGTTTCTCAGCCTTTTGGGTAAGATCAAGTGTAGTATCTGTTCTTATCAGTTTAATATCTGATATATCTTGTAAATGTATTCATTGTAAGATCAATAAAGTTTGTCTTGTCTTATCTTATTTTTGTGTCGCTCAAAATCACATCAAATAGCAGTCGCCTCAAAGGGCATCACAGAAATTGTTGTAGCGCCAATAGAGCAGATTAGTAAATCAAGCACCAATAACAAATGTTAATACATTTACAACACACAGGAGTCATTTCTCTCACAACATCAATTTAATTTATTTTTTAATTAAAGAAATTGTCAATTTGCCATTGACTGTCCTTAGATAGTCCAAGCTCATCCTGGATCTGCGAGGGAAAGTAAACAGTGTACATGTTTTATTACCCTGTTGTACATGCCAAGAAAGTAAATATTGCCATGGGATCAAGCAGGTAGCAGCTCCTGATCAGAAACGTTGCACTGTGTATTATAACAATAAATATAATATTCAATAATTTATTTGTGGACATCTAGCTGTTAGTGATCAAGAACCAAATGCATAATTGCATAGTTATTACTTTTCTTACTTCCTTTATTTATTATCTGCTGAACCCTGTGCTTAGTTCAAAACATGCTCATGGACAATAAAATAAATGATTGCAATCTGGTTTGGTTTTGCAGCATGCTCCCATTACTCTATATTTTCCTATTCAAGCCATTCAAGTCACTCCCCAATGACTTTATCAGGTGTAATTTTTGGCAATTAAATCGGGTTTTAGTGCAGACTGGCGTGCGCTCAGATCCCCCTCCTCCCCCTCCTCCCCCTCCTCCTCCTCCTCCTCCTCCCCTCACGGGACTCTGCAGCCTGTGCGTACGTGCCACACGACTGGTGCCAACTCGCGCTGTGCACCGCCTCTGCAGCGCACAGGCAACCTCTGTCCATCACAAACTGTTTATTTTTGCTCGGAAGGGTCACTGATTTTCCTTTTATGTAGCCTTAGATGGTCCATTTGTGCAAAGTTTGTTTATGTCAATGTCATTTTGTTGAACGACTTAACAAAGCATAACTCATAAGCCTAGATGCGTCTTAAAGATATAGTAAAATATGCTTTTGTTGTGAAAAATAAGGAATTCCACAAATGCAAGTCAGTCGGTCAGGAATTGTGGAAAACAGTATGGCATAGTGCATGTTCAAGGACCTCACTGAAACTCGGAAAAATAAGATACAAACGATATATTCGAAATAAAATAAAGCTGTACAATTCACACTATTATATAAATATAGCTCTAAATATTACCACCAGACATTGCAACATAAAGACGCAATTAGTTTAATTTTGGTTGCTTGGTTTTGAATAAGCTATATGAGGATTGTCAAAACAAACAACAGTTTTTTTGCCTCATGTAATTGGACGCATCTCTGAATGCACTTTTCACAATAATTAGAGTCAATTGCTGAGATTCACTCAAGAGGACTCTCCAGAGGCTCACTCATTTTGTAAACTATAAACACACACATGCATGAATGTTATATTATCAACAAATTACATATATTAATCATATGCAAAGAACATATAAGGGTTAATGGTATTTATATCCTGAAATATTTTCAAGTTGATCCGTGGCGAGCAACTTGAAGCTTGATTGCTTAAGTTGATCCGTAGCTGATCCGTTCAAAACCATTCTCCCTACATGTTTTGCATTATGTCACATTTCTCCCACCAAACCACATTCTGGATGGATTTCAGGTTCACCTATTTCACATGATTGTGGGTATGACGTATGCACATATGTTTCAAAATGCCTTGATATCATTGTGCTAACGTGAGTATTCAGTAAGGGGTAAAACGCTAGTGTACGTTTCTTCAACTTTGACTAATCTTTTTGAAATTAATGCACTTTCCTCCATTCTTGTGTATTGTTCTGATATGGTTCATTCATTTTATTGAGTGACCTGAATCACCCCACACAGCCTGGCACATGTTGTCAGGGCTGGTTTGATTACAGAAGTACTGACAGCACTTCTCAAGTTATGACACAAGAGATCCTTCTGCTTATTCCTCTGATTTAATTTAATTCCAGTATTACATCCTATTTTTAGAGTGTTTCTAAACATGGGGTGAGTATGGGGGAGTCATTGACAGCAGGATTGGAAATGTATATGCAGTGTAATGAATATTTTGCGACAGTAGCTCAGTTGGTAGAGCATTGGCCTTAAGGCCAGAAGGTTGTGGGTTCAATTCCCACCTCTGCACCTTCTCCACCGACTCCCACTGATGACTGCTGTCGTTGTGTCCTTGGGCAAGACACTTAACCCCACTTTGCCCAAAAGCCCCCACTGAAAGATCAAGGCTATGCTCACACTCAGAGAGCAGCCGTCTTCCTGTGGACTCACCACCTGCAGAGGGTCAGTGAGGGGCTGGTGCTATGAGACTTGGGTGGCATCTCTGACTGCCACCCCCCTGACCCAGAAATGGATTAAAGGGTAGAAAATGGATGGATGGATGGATGGATGAATATTTTGTAGGATTTTTGGGATTTATCAATTCATTTTCTGCTTGACTTTTGATAACATTCATGCACTTATTTGTGTTTTGTACTGAGTTGGGCTACTATCTAAATTTAAAGTTTAGAAAATCTTGAGAACCACTTAAATAAAGTCATATGGCTCCTGGAACAAATGGCCGCAGGAGGACTGCCAAAATTACTGTTATTATTAATCGCATCCTGCATTGTCAAGTGTGAACAGTGTTATCTGGTGGCTCTACATGCACCATATTCCACAATGTATAACTAAAATGAATGCTAGGTTTGTATGTTCCTGCTTTGCCCTTGATAAAAAAACAACTGTGGACACTCCTGTTAAATGCACGCTGCCTATCCACATGGGCTTTGTGACAGGAAATATTTAAATTTTTTCTTCTGAATGATAAACCTTTTTTCCATGCAAGTATACACAGTTACAAAGTCCTCGGGTGTCATTAATTAATATGGATGAATTAATAGTGCAAGACAAAGATTGCAGTATGATAAAGTTTGTGCTTGGCTAAAATCAACAATAAAGGGGTAAAGGAATGTGCGTTTATGTAATTAATTTTACACACGAGTAAGTATGTGTTCTATGCAAATTGATTAAGGAAGAAAAGAGAGGAATTGAACCGTATACATCTAAGAACTATGTAGTCGACATTTTCCCATGGACAAAGGTCTGGTTACTTCTGCATAAATGCATATTTACAAATAAAAGGTAGGAAAAAATTTTTATCTTGCAAAAATATGTCCAGTTAAGCATTTAATGGTCAAAGTCAAATCAGACATTGATCCTTTTTGTATCTTTTGCACACGACATCCAGAAAACGATTTCACATTCATTTTGGATGTTTCAACACTTTCTATGGACTTTACTCCTTTACGTTTAATCATACTATCAGATGAACTTTGGTTTTGTGAAATTCAATGCTATGGTAAAAGACGCATTTATTATTTCTTTATTCATTACAATGAGGGGCTGGTGATCTGTGTACTGGGTGGCATCTCTGGCCACCCCCCTGACCCAGAAACGGATTAAGGGGAAGAAAATGGATGGATGGATGGATTACAATGGCAATATTTATAGTGCATAAATGTAAATTCACAAACCAGAAGCTACATTTTATTGTCTACAAGGAATTTCAGCTGTATCATCTTCCCTATGTGCTCATACTGGACACATGTACATTTTGTGCAGTAATTGGGTAATAATTTGTCATGTTTTATTCTTATCATTACTATTATTGTTGTTATTATTATCATTATTATTTTATCATGGATGATGCGAATAATGTTTTTTTTCCTTTTAATATATATTTTTTTCATATTGCTACCTGGTGTTTTATTTGTTCATGTATTCAGCGCTATAATAGATCCATGGCTATAACCCCTATTCTAATGAATATATAAAAAACAAATACATTCATGAAGTGAAGCCAGTCCCCCTTTGTCCGGAAGTCCCTGAAAGCAGCACCGTAGGCGTGTCCTGGACGTGACGTCACGTCGGGGTGGACCTGTGGTTGGCCACAGCGCAGCCGCTCACTCCACTGCTACAGGCGCCATGCTTTACGTGCAAAGCCAGAGCTAGCGACAAAAATGCCTCGGAAAGACCTTGGCCCAGCCCAAAATGCTCGGTCTACAGCGCTCGGTAGGGAGTTATTTCTCTGGTACAAGATGTGAAGCGGGAGAGAGCATCGTAAAATGGCCTTGTTTTGAGTTTGGCGTCTCGCTTGCTGCTCGGTGACACAGTGCGTTCCCAAAGTTGTCGGCTACTGGTGCCCGCAGCCAACATGGACCGACAGCAGCACCAGCACCAGCAGAAGCAGCAGCAGCAGAAGCAGAGCGAGCTGGACCGAGACACACAGAACTGTGAACTTTGCGGGAAAATGGAGAACCTGCTTAAGTGCGGGAGGTGTCGGAACTCCTTCTACTGCAGCAAGGAGCACCAGAAACAACACTGGAAGGAACACAAGCTCAAATGCAAAGAGGCGGACAAGGCAGAGCAGAGGCAGGCTGAGCTGGAGGTGCGTCAGGCGGCTGAGGAGCGCAAACAAGACGCTAATAATGGACACAAAAAGAAGCCCCCAGAGCCACAACCGGGGGACAAAGAGGAGCAGACCAGTACGTCGTTACCCACCATCATAGGGGCAGGCGCTGGTGAGGACAGACCTAACAGCACTGGCACGCCTAATGGTCAGACTAGCTCATCTCTGAAGGCGCTCGCACTGGAGTGTATCGTGCCGTGTATGGAGAAACACGGAATGTGCGTAGTAGATAACTTTTTAGGAGTGGACACGGGGCAGGGTATACTGGACAATGTTAAGGCATTGCACGACACCGGCAAGTTCACAGACGGGCAGGTGGTGAGTCAAAAAAGCGACTCCACCAAAGACATTCGTGGGGATAAAATCACGTGGATTGAGGGGAGGGAAGTGGGATGCGAGAAGATACGCTTTCTCATGAGCCGCATGGACGAACTCATCAGGCACTGCAACGGGAACCTGGGGGACTACAAGATAAACGGAAGGACGAAAGTAAGTATTGAAGTCCCCCCTCCCTCTTCCCCCTCCTCTGTCTTAAGTGTGCCAAGATCACCGCCAAGTTCTCAGTGGTGCATCTGTTCCACGCGTCCCCAGTTCGTTCTTTTACGCGTGTTTTGGCCAAGGTCACACTTAAGTCCAACTAGAAACACCAGCTACGTCTCTGCATTGCTCAGCAGTTGTGGCTTTGTGACTAATTGATCCTGGTTGAAAAGGTCATGAGTGAAGTGAGTGAGTTCAAAATCCAGATAAAGGGATAACACTTGGTATAGTCTGATAGGACAGCAATACACTACAAATATAATAATCCACTGGGGGAATACTTTTTACACTCCCTGTGGAATGACTATAGGCTTTAACAACTACTTAAGTTATTATGGTAAGCTGTTGAGGATAAATGAAACCCTGATGTCTTGTCCTTCTGGATGACATTAATCAAAACGTGGGAAATTGAGAATGATTGTTCATAACAGTGATGTAAACAGGGAATAGAAGCTGTTGGTCAATGATTCTCAATCCGTGGTACATACGGAATATGACACAGTATGGTGCTCTGGGTGTGATACCTTTTATTGGAGTAAGAGGGATTTTATTTGTTCCTCATTGCAGACAATATTGAGACATGATTTGTTCCTCTGTTTATAGTGCTAAATGTATCCATATTTTAATAACACACTGAAGAATATACTTGTTGGACCATGATTAGAAAGAATTGTTTTACCTATTGTCTAAGGCTTTATAATGGGTGAAACTGGGTGATAATAATTTTACTCCTGTAATTCAACTTATAATGTCAAACTAACACATCACATGCAATTGCAATCACTACATGCAAAGTGAGATATATCCAGCCTTTATTTATTATAACGTTGATGGCTCACAGCTTGTAAAAACTCCATATGAAACATTTTAGAAAATGTGGATATTTTAAAAATGGACTGGAATCCATAATCACCAAAATGATAACAAACCACGGCTTGGCATATGTCACTTTGCAGGAAATGAGTCTTTATCATGTACTGACTGGTTTCACAGCGGAAGTTAAAGCAAAGAAATAAATGAACTTAATTAACAATATCTAGAGTTTCACCTGTGTACAGTAATTATAACGCACCGCTATAAATCTACTAGTCTTCTATAGTGACTGACTTCATATTCTTGATCAAGTCATAACAACTGACCTGTCTCTCATTAAAACTAAAGGTAAAAGACCTGTTTTCTAACCAGTTGAAATTGCTGTTAAAGTATTGTTCCGAGGTCACGGTTGGAGTCAGGATGGCCTTGATAAACGGTAATCTACTCAAGAGGAGACAAACTCAAAAACTGAACCTCCCGTACTTTTCATGTTCATGCATAAGGCGACGGGGTAATGTATATATTTTTCTAAAAGATAAGATCCACTTTGATCTCACAATGGAGAAATGAATAGTATTGGTTATTAGATGGATTTGCATGGTTATTATTGTTGGCCATTTGGTAATTGTTACAATGTTGTGTCCGCCGCTGTAGTTGGGTTGTGTGGGTGATTATTTGGTCAATGCATGGGAAAACTGCAAAAATTAGTCGGCACAAAGCAAATCTTTCCGACAATTTTGGTATTTACTTTTAAATTGCAGCCAGGTCAAACTCTCAATTGAGAAACTTTGCAGTAATCCTTTTGTAAATTGCAAAATATTTCAGTTAGTCTTTAGTTAAATAGTTGTTTTTTGCCTGAAATGTGGTGAGTAGAGTAAGTGGTAAGCTTGTTCCGAATGCTTTTGCAGCATTTACTACAGCTCTGCAATCTAAAGGAGATTTTTCATTATTTTGGATTCATCTTTTGATTACTTATGGAGTTTAAATTGTAAAAGGCACATGAAAATCATTGTGTGCCCTTTGACGAAGTACCATATAGAGTAGTTTTGTAATCAGTGTGTGTGTTTGTGCGACGTGTACCTGTTAGCCACAATTATCACACATTTTCGTTTGCTGAGTAATTTAGCATGGACAGTTCCTAAAACGGCACCGTTATTATGTCTTCATGACAAGAAAATAAATAAGTACAAAATATTTTTCTCACAAATATATTAACTATCTGTTTTGTGTTGTATTTTTGACACCGGAACTTTGATTGTTGCTGTGACTTGAGCGTGGCCTTGAGGGGAAATGGTGGGCAGCTTTTTTCTAGCATGTCATTCATTCTTAGAGGAGGTTTTTCTCAAGGGAAGTGATGCATGTATTTTCAAGGATTGATTTTCTGTTATTTGGCATTAGTGTAATTTAGCTGTGTTGGCTCTAGAGGCCGAGTGAAGTGATCTGTCAAAAGCGGAGAGTGGCAATGTTTTCTTGGTTGGTAGAACATTTATAATCAACTCTGCCACAGATACATGCAGAAAGAAATCTATTTGTTTTGTATCAGTTCTCCAAGAAATACCTCACAATAATTACTACATTGACTCATCTTTGGGGCCTCATTATTTATCATCTAAACATTTGCTTTACAAAAGTGTAGAGAATTGTTATTTTTAGGGGAAATGATTATTTTTGTTGTAGAAGGTTGATATTGACTATAACTTTATTCTACTGATATTTATCATAGTAGTGCATAAGTTTTAATAAAATCTATAATTTGGAAAAAATGGACAGAAGAATCTTATTGTCTGTCAAAATGAGTTATCGTGACAGCCCTAGTTATATCCAGTGTTTTATATAAAAAACAAAGTTGTTGTTTGGAAAATGTGTGTTTTGGGGACTTGTGTGTTCATTATGTTTCGTGCCCTGAAAACTTTGTTTATGCTCAAACAAGTCGGTCCCAAAAGACGTGTTTAGTAAACGGCCAGTCCGTAGCCAAACCCAGAACAGTTTTGTGAATGGGTTTGACAGTAGTGCAGCCGCCTCACCCCTCTTTTGAAGTCCTGCTCAAAATGACTTAACATGCTTAGCAGTTGTGAGGCTATTTTTAGCCCAGTGCTTGGCAAAAGCAGCTGCCCACCGTGCTAAGTTCAACTCCTTCTGCAGAATTTTGACTTTCTCACCTACTGCCCTCCAAAACCCTGGGCACGCGGTGAACAGGGCAAACCGTGTGACTTGCACAAAAACTGTACTTCCGCTTTGTATCAATAGCTCAAAGAGTCTGAGAACAATGCACACCTGGTCTGCATTGGGAGAGATAGAGGAAAACCATTTTGGCCAAATAGTTATTTAATGTCATTGTCTCCATTTCCCTTTTTCACTTGATAACATTGTGGAAAGTTTCAGGCAGTCGCTGGTGTTTTTCTGTTTACTGATTTGAATAATTACGGCGCGTTTACTATAACATTACTATTATTAATTATTAATATTACTGATGAAATATTTGAGCATATTTTGGACAACATTTTTGATACAAAGTTCATTTGCGTTTTCAAGAGTATTAGGGCTCTTTCCATTTAAAAGTTAATAGAAATTTATTGACCTGAGGTTCGGAAGTGTGACAGATAAGACGAAGTGTTTTGATTGTTTACATAACGTTTTTCCCCATTGTCTTCCATTCAACCACTCATTATAGCTAAAGCTGGAATACTGAACTTGCAAAATTTACACATTCATGTAACAAATTTGTTGCTCAAAACAATTTGATCTTTTGATCAACTTTTTTTAGACCGAAATGTGAAAAAGATAGGACCAACCTTCTCTCAGTTTGTAAAAGATAACATGGACTTATAAGATAAAGACAGCATGTTATCTGAGTTGTTCACAGAATGTTAATTCTGTTGGACAGACTAAATGATACAAAAAATAGTTTGGTTACTCCAGCTTTACCTTAAACAGATTTAGTGTAGCTGCCCACACACAAGACGTGACACTTTAAAATTAGAAGATAGTTCAAAGGTCAGCTTGTCAGTCTGCTACAAAGTGCAACTAATATATGGCGGACTCATTACAGGCAAGTTAAATGCATCAAGCTTTATTTAGTAGTTTATTTAATGTTTGTTGTTATAGGTCATAATTATCAAAATTGTAACAAAAAAGGCTCGGGATATGTCACTTTGCATGTAATGAGTCTATCATGTAGTTTCACATTTTAGGGTGATTTGCTGAAATAAATCAACTTTTGAACACGTTTTTTCCTGTGTGTGTGTGTGTGTATATATATATATATATATATATATATATATTAGGGCTGTCAAAATTATCGCGTTAACTCACGTTAATTACAGTTTTTATTAACGCGTTATTTATTTTTAAACGCATTAACGCATGTCCGAATGACCCGCCCATTTATCCATAAGAATATCACTCAGAATGCTGCGTGTGAGATGGCCTCCTCCGTGGCCGCTCTGGTTGTTGTTAGCGGCTGTGAGTGAGTGCAAGCTTTGCACGGGCTGCAAGCATGGATCTAGCTATTAGGTAACACTTTACATTACGGGCCGGTAAGTCCATGGTACTTACAGTGGTACTTCTAGGTACTTACAGTGGTACTTCTAGGTACTTACAGTGGTACTTACGGTGGTACTTACGGTGGTACTTACGGTGGTACTTACGGTGGTACTTACGGTGGTACTTACAGGGGTACTTACGGTGGTACTTACGGTGGTACTTACGGTGGTACTTACAGTGGTACTTACAGTGGTACTTACAGTGGTACTTACAGTGGTACTTCTAGGTACTTACAGTGGTACTTCTAGGTACTTACAGTGGTACTTCTAGGTACTTACAGTGGTACTTACGGTGGTACTTACGGTGGTACTTACGGTGGTACTTACGGTGGTACTTACGGTGGTACTTACGGTGGTACTTACAGTGGTACTTACGGTGGTACTTACGGTGGTACTTACGGTGGTACTTACGGTGGTACTTACGGTGGTACTTACGGTGGTACTTACGGTGGTACTTACAGGGGTACTTACGGTGGTACTTACGGTGGTACTTACGGTGGTACTTACAGTGGTACTTACAGTGATACCAGTAATTATATAGTATACCATGTACTTACCAGCAAGTACCATGTACTTACCAGCAAGTACCAGGTACTT